GGGGGGGGGGGGGAATTAAAGTACAAAGACAACCCACATCCCCTTAATTAGCAAAGAGGTAGTTTAGTGTCCCTGGAGTATGTGACAGACAGCTCCTACTTACCACATATCTGCACCATAACATTCTCTGCTTGGGGGAGCTCAGGAAAAGACCACCATGTACACTGTAGGTCAAAGCTGAGATGCAAGATTTCCCACAAAAAGCTTGCCTACCACATATACATAATCCCCTACCTCCTACCAGTGATTTTTTAATTCTGAAATGTAGCAGTTACTAGTTTTCATGTTTGTAAAAAGCTATAAAAATAGGAATGGGCACCATATAACATTCTGTGAAGCAGAGAAGATCAGAAAAAGTCTGTAGGATACTTGCTCCTGAATTAAGAACAAATTTCAGTACTATTAGAATAATATTAGCAGCTTGTTTTTCTACTATTGGTCAGAAATCATTTGCATTTTTCATGCTTGATTTAAGCCACAGTGGATGTTGCCAGACATTAACTGTAGCCACTGTCCCCACAAATCTTGATCTCTAAACCAGCTGGAGGCAGAAACAAAATAACCAATTAACAGAGACTAATTGGGTGAGAGTTAGGACATGAAGGGTAATTAGAATCTAAGAATAATGCTGAAGAGTCAGAGCCTCATCATTAAACACAAATGTTTTGCATCTTCAGCAGCTCATGGAAAGAAACAGTGTGCATGTGTGCACGAGTGCATGCTGGTGTAGGAGAGGGCAGGATTTGGGCTCCACATTCATCTTTACATAGAAGAGACTTCACATTTAGAAGCAACTGAAGCAGAGGGCTTGACAGCTGAATGTGATCACAAAAACCCAGAGCAAAGCACATCACTTCCAAAACTTTGGCTGATGGATGGCCAGTGATGGGGAGATCCAGGATGCTAATCAAAAGCAAAATTGAACTTCTCACTCTTTGATAAACTGGCAGCTTTGTAAAGTATTACTATAAATAGAGAGCAAGTAAGGCTCTTCAACAAATTTGTCACCACACACTGAAGTGTAATACTGTTTCTGTCAAACAGATTTCTCCCCAAGTGCAGCAGAAATGAAAGTGTGAAAGCAAGAAAAAAAAATTACCTTTTACACTAACTGTGATGTAAGGATCAATGCACTGACCGGCATCTTTCAAACCAATCTTCTCAATTTTGATGGTAAGTAATGTCATCCCGGGTTCAGATGGCAGCCTGGGTAATAGAGTTCCTGGCAACAGACAGCAAATCAAGTCATTAACCCTTTGGGACTCCGACAGGAAAGGCCCCCACCCTACTCATCATCCTTGTCTGCAAAAGTCTTTGTCCACTATCAGCGCTAGTGGACTCAAACCAGGGATCAGGTTCCTTTTGTATCGAGTCCAGAAGTCTCATCCAGATGACACACACGACTACAGCAAAGCACGACCTTCATTTTATATTTGGCCAATACTATTATATCACACTAAAAAGCAACCACTTCTGGGGTAAAAAGTGATAAATCAGTGCCTGCCATTGGACAACACTAAGGTAAAAATCACCCTTTAGCAGGAAGTGTTGTGGGTCTTAACATCAAGCAGAGCAGACAGGACCCTTGGTTTTAAGGTCTCTGGTTTGCATGCACACTAAATTGTATGGAACTTTTAAAGGGTTAAATCTCATCTGCTGGAATTATAATCTGTGGCTGCAGTGAGTCCAGGCATTTCATATGCAATGCTTAGTCCACTGATTCATCCACCTTTCAACAGAGAGAAGGGAATGCAATATCGATATGATCCCCACTACCCACTGAAATCAAAGAAATACCAGGAGGAAAAAAAAAAAAAAAAAAAAAAAAAGGGTTTTT